TTGGGTGAGCCCTTGGAGGGGCACACTAGTTGTTTGGTCAGTCTCGTTCTCACCGGATGGTACTCGCATCGCGTCTGGTTCTTGGATAAGACTGTGCGGCTGTGGGATGCAATCACGGGACAGCCATTGGGTGAGCCCTTGGAGGGGCACACTAGTTCGGTTTGTCAGTCTCGTTCTCACCGGATGGTACTCGCATCGCGTCTGGTTGGGATAACACTGTGCGGCTGTGGGATGCAACCACGGGACAGCCATTGGGTGAGCCCTTGGAGGGGCACACTAGTTGGTTTGTCAGTCTCGTTCTCACCGGATGGTACTCGCATCGCGTCTGGTTCGGGATAACACTGTGCGGCTGTGGGATGCAATCACGGGACAGCCATTGGGTGAGCCCTTGGAGGGGCACACTAGAGGTTTGTCAGTCTCGTTCTCACCGGATGGTACTCGCATCGCGTCTGGTTCGCAGATAACACTGTGGCTGTGGGATGCAGTGAAAGTGCAGCTATCCCCCATGTCCAGAGAGCCAGATTCTTCATTTTCACTCCATCGAAGCACTACACCTCCCACCCAACAAACCGTACCATGCCAACCAGCACTTGTAACGTCACGTCATTTCCTTCTCGTCCAGCCAAGAACACGCCTGCTAAACCCCGCTGACTTGCTGGAACCCACTCTCTATCATTTCCAATTCAACCCCTTTTCTTGCTGCAGGCTGATGGATGGATCATGGGACCCCAACCACCAGCTCCTTTTCTGGGTACCTCCCGCCTCCAGACATGCATTCTATACTCCTTGGACTATATTGGTAATACCCAAAGGATATCCCGAACTTGATTTGAGGCGCATGGCCCATGGGACACAGTGGTCGAATTGCCGAAATGCGTGAGTTCTTAGTCTTTGTCCTCCGTCCTTGGAATTGCTAACATCGGGACTTCTAGCTCCATATAACGATGATTCTATTGCTGCAACATCGAGTGTACCGTTTCATTTTTTTGATTCCTTGTTCATTTCTATACCTAGCACCGAGTCTGAATTTACAGTTATCCGACTGCTGCAGAGGTGCACTAGTTAATATGTAGTACTCTAGTACTGTATACGTTCACAGTAGCATTTTCGAGCCGTTTTCGTTTTTTTTTTCGACTTTTCGGTGAATCTGATATTTCCATGTATGTCATTGTGAAGAGCCGTGGAAACTTCGTCGCAGCCAGGTGGCGAAGAATGAGCGTCTTAGTAAGCAAATGTCTGAGCCCAATTCTTACACGTCAAAGTCTTTGGTCATGGCCATTCATACCCTCATTTCGAAAAAATCTGTGGCCACGCTATTGTTTGCCCTTCAGTGCGTGAGCCCGTGTGCAATATAGTTGCTTCATCGACGATGCCATTGTCGATCACGGTCATTTGCAATTTGGCTTTGAAATAGACTGCTGGCGATCTAATTAGCCTCAGATCAGTGGCTAGAGCATAGTGTACCGAAGGCAGAGCATCCAACTATCGTGCGTGGAACAACAAGGCTACCTTCTACTCGACCGCCTCATCCAGAGCATCCTGTATGGTCTCTACAGTGAGTCGACATCGATATAGGTCTTGGTTGACGCGCACAGTCTCATGACACAGGTATTTGAAGAGAGTGGTGCTCCCGGACCTAGTAAATTCGAAGAAGGTCGAAAGCTCTGCACCAAGCGAACACTCTCGCAAGCAGAAATTGACTACTGGCTTTATACCGTGCGCAAAGCTGCGCGGAAGGAATGATTGTATTACTCGCTGCACCGAGAAACACTTGGTTGTGGAGAACGACGACGCCCCCCCTCCACCTGAGCCTTGCCTGTCTCTACACTCTTGAAGTCAGAATTACTAGGATAGCCTCAGGTCACAGCAGTTGACATAGGTGTTGGGGAAGATTGGAGTTATTTGAACGAGTGAAGGCAACGCGCGAGGAGGGACAAGGTCGAGCGTGATTTGAAGTGGATGTGGATTGCTGGAGGCTGTGAAGAGGGAAGCTGCACAAAAAGCATTGCAGCTCAGCGCTACAGCATCATTATGATAGTCTGACATGTTGCAGAGCAACTCAGTATTATCTTCGCACTTTGCGTCGACGATATTATGTTCCGTCTGATTTATTTCGGATCAATGCAAGGGGTTTTTCAATACGACCTGAGTCTCTGAACAGATGAAGTGGTGCATTCGTTGCCTCATACTATTCACTAACTCAATAAGCTGTCCGCTTCAAACGTGCACATTCAGGATTTTAGCGCCTCCACGGTTGCACAGAACGCCAGCTGTTACATAATATAAAGTTCGAACCACTTGAAAGATCACTATGTATAATCACATGGCCTATGGCCTGATACCAATATCCTTCTACTTGGTCTAGCTAAGAAGATCGATACTAAGCAGGCGCACTGTGAGTTATACGAGTCCCCCACCACCCATCCTAACAGTATCCAAAACCTGCCCTCACCAACTCATTCCATAACCGTCTCGCAATCGAATCGCCACGGGCTTCCAATAACCTTCTCCGTACCAAGTCCGCAGGTGTCTCCAAGCGCCGCCGCCTCCGAAGCATCAAAGATATAAGGGGGATTAGGAAGAGCAAGACTGATAGAGTGGCTATTCTGTTTGCAGTGAAATAGTGGTTGAAATAAGATCGTATGAGTGTTAGGGAGGTTGGGGTGCAGTCGCGAGACTATGGTCGACTGGCAGAACGCGGGAGATGCGAACGCCACTAGCACTTGAGCTTCCTCGGGGCATGCTTTGGTTGTGGCGGTGGCGAGGGGATCTGGTTACGGTGGAGTCTGAGACTGCTGATGTGGAGGACGCGGATTGTTGGCGGGTAAGTTTTGGACGAGGGGATGCTGGCATGGCGGTGCGGGTAGATGTAGTGGATAGAGAAGAGGAAGAAGAGGCTGGGGATAGAGAGCGGAGTGGAGGTATTGGTGTAGGAGACGGAGGAGTCTCGGGTTTTGACGTCTCCCGCCTTGTACTCTCTAACGCGTGAGCATGCTGAGCCTCGAGGGCCAGATGAAGTTCCTGACAATATTGTGTTCAGTGCGATACAAGGATCATGAAATTAAACTCACGCGTTTTTTCGTCAGACGAGAGTTCATTCTCGTAGGACAGAAATTCTTTGACGTACTCCCACTCGCCCAAACGAGGTAGACATGCAAGCAATAAAGTTCTAGGACTCTATGATATGGTTCACCCGTAGAAGGTACGAAGTCATATTGACCGCGTTTTGATAGCCAGTCCTCTGTCATCTCACGACCAACGCTTAGGCAATCTATCTTGATACTGGATGCGACGAGTGTGATGAGGACTTGGTGCGGAAGGAATGCGGAGCTAGGTTTTCGATACAGAGATGAAGGAGTAAATAAAGTGAGAGATCGAGCGTACAAAGTGGAAATAAACGATTGGGGAGACAAGAGTAGGATCTCTTGGAGTGGTTGTGGTAAATGAGCTATGTCTTGAGTAGAAGAGAAGACGGTGGTTTCGAGGGTGATGCGAAGGATATCCCACTTTCTCCGGTGGACATCTAGGGGATCAGGTGAGGGCGCAAGGGGAGGTGAGAGGAGCGCGAATGCAGCGCTTAACAAAGTGAACGTGATTGTAATGTCCCGGTGAAGGAATGCTCTCGCTGCACGGTTGTACAGTGATTGTAGCGTTGCCTCCGTCGACGGCGAACCTTTGCTAGACGGCTTATGAGGCAGCATGTCCGGCGTCAAGACAGTTGTCATCGTCATCGTAACGGTCGGCATCGGCGGTCTGCCTGAAACTAAGACTAAAACCAGTGTCAGAGGCTAGAGCTTTTATGGGCCTGTCTTCAAAAGGAATAGAGTATATCGTCAGCAGTGATTATCTACGTTCGTCGTACACTCCACTCAAACAGCCTCGAATCGTTGGTTGGTGTTCGGTGCAGAGTCAGAGTCCTAGTGTGACCAGCGACTGCACTGGGCAAGTGACCGGCAACCTTAGCACTGCCACTGCAAATACTGCTCATATCACGTGCGTCAGTGAAGCCTGCAGACTTTCTTGAGCGAGCGCAATTGAAGCGCCATATAACACACGCTTCATAATCGATGGTCACCTGTCCAATCAATGGTACCAGCTACATGAGTACCATTGAATTGTTCACACGTCAACATTTCAATTGGCTACTGAAGCTGTTATCATCCGTTATCCAAGTCAACGTTCAGCGCTAGCATTGCAGCACGTCATGGATCTTGGATTGCAAGGAGTGCATGTCATCGTTACAGGTCGTACTCTATGCTATCCTATGCCACTACTGACCTGACCGTGTACTCGAGCAGGGGCAAGTGGCGGCATCGGGCTAGAGACTGTGAAATTGTTTTGTGGTAAGTAATTTACTCTCGAGTGATGACTATTGAGTTGAATCAGACATTCAGCATTGGGCGGAATGTGACCGCACATTATAACTCCAAATTTGGTCCGATCCAGGAGCTTCTGGCATCGAACCCCAGTCTTCAACACGTCCAGGCCAATCTGTCTCAAGAGGAGGCCTTGGTGGCCATGTTTCAGAGTCGCTAGCTGCTATGCCCCATGGACCCATACAAGTAGTGATCGTCAATCACGCTATATATCAACTTCGATGTTCCAATCGCAAGGATGACGCTGGACCAATGGAACACCACCATAACCACGAACTTGACGTCATCATTCCTGGTGTGTAGAGAGTATTTGAAGCACCTGAAACGTGCACCCTCTACTATCAAGGAAAAGGCGGCGATTGTGCTTATCGGAAGTACCGCTGGGAAGTATGGCGAAGCCAATCACGGTGACTACTCTGCGACGAAGAGCGGTCAGTGACGATTCTGTCCGCAGTTTGACATAGACTCATCATGTTGTAGCAATGATGTACGGTTTAAACCTCACTCTCAAGAATGAGATCGTGAAGATAGCCCCCAAAGGCAGAGTCAACTGTATTGCGCCTGGCTGGGTCAAGACACCCATGGCTGAAGAAGCCTTGAAGGATCCTCAAACAGTGTATCGTATATTATCTACGTCAGTCACGTCTTTATGCATCATGATTCATTATCTGTATCGAATTTCGTGCTACTACTGCAGGTGCCCGCTTAAGAAGGTGGCGATGCCAATCGACGTCGCAACGCAGATTGTGATCCTTGCATCATCCGCTCTCTCCGGTCATGTCACTGGTCAAGTAGTGATGGTTGAAGGTGGGATGGAGGGGAGATTACTAAACAGACCAGAAGATTTGCAGGGATCTTAAGTCGGGTTTTCTCATGAATGCCTCGTCCGAATCTGTAATATGTATAGGAGATGATGAAATGTCTGAA